GACACTGAGTCAAAATCCTGTAGAAGTGATGAATCTTCATGAAAAAGGTCTATTTATTAACATAATATCTATGAGGCCCAGTCACATAACATTATGTTCTTAATAAGTAAAAAGCATTTTGGCTTATGTTACATTTTTCTATGAACTAAAAATAAACAAATAAAAGTGAGATTAGATTAGGTGATTTCCTCGTTTCACCACATGAGATTTTGGTCTTGTGACCATAATTTCTAGAGAATTGAACTAAAATGCCAAACTCCTCCCCCCTCAACCTTCCCTTGAAATTAAAAGGGGGGGGGGGGCATCTGGACTGTGACTGTGTTAAATTCTGACCTTGAGAGGCCGACCATGTGAGAGAGGAGCGTTTGTGCGTGTTGACATCTGTGTGTCGTCGGCCTCTGATGTCTGGATGAAGGGTCCGTGTTATGTGAAGGCTGGCAAGTGAACTGGTCTCGTCACTCTTTGCTCTTGCTAACAGGAGAATGGGCCAACTTTTCTGGAGCGGAGGCCAGTACAAGAACTGTAAGCACCAAGATGAAGGCGATAACAATACTAAACTGCAGCTCTATCATCCCTCCCTCCTTATCCTTTGAATGTCCTCTAGCTGTCCGTCCCATCCAAGTAATCAGCATCCTTCAAAAGAAGCACAGCCGAAGCCAAGTCTAACAGAGAGCGTGTCCTAATCAGGGGCACGAAGAGCCGGGCTTATGGATTCCTCCCCCACTGCGGGGCCATTACTGGGCCGCCATGGGCTCAAGATTAGAGCCTCTCCCCGTGTTAGCCATTCAAATTCTGCATTAATGTTTGAAAAGAGCAGAGAAAATGTCTGCTCTTCATGGATAGATTAATATTTTATGGAAGAGAAATGTGAAAACATCCTCAGTAATATCTGAGTTGAGCCGGTGTGTCTGTGGTCGTCCTGTGCGTGTGTGTTTTTTATAGGCTCTCGTGCGTTCATACGGTATACTGCTGTCAAAACGTCACATCCTACCCAAGCAAGCCAAGCAGCAGGAGGTGTGGTTGTAAATTTCAGACAAATTTGCATATTTGGGATCAGTGTGACAGCTGCCTTTATGACAGCGATTGGTCTCTTGCTGATCTTTGCTTCCTTGTCTGCTGAAGTTGAGCCTCAGTTGATTCATCATGTGGAGAGACAAGCCTATGTGTGTTTCAGAAATAGGAGCTGCTTGTTTCAGGCACAGTGCACTCACTGACTGCCTGTCAGTCAGTCTGCACAGTAAATAGGTAATTGTTTTATGTGAGGGAAGAATCAAGTAATGTCTGGGCCTCCGTGAAGCTGCAGTCTTCAGCTATCTGACTGCTCCGCAGAGCTGGTACAGGTGATTAGACAAATAGTTAGTTTGTGTCCCAAGTAAAATCATTTTGGTTATTTGTGGTTTCCTGCTGTATTCTGCTGCCTGATATAGAAATGACCACAGTCAGACACTGAAGAGTTTTTTGTTAGCTACATAATTCATCCACACTGCTCTCCAATGGCAGTTGTGTCTGAAATTATCATATTGATGAGCATGAGCTTCATCTTCACTTTTTTTTTTATGCAAGTGTGCCAGAGGAGAACACGAGTGTCGGTGAAGTAAAGTAGCACAGTATAAGATTCACCCAATAAACCTCAAGAAATTATCAATTTTTATATTTAAATGGTTCAGAACCTCGTCATTATTTGATGTTGCTGCTATTTTTTCTCTCTCTCTGTATTTGCTGACCGGACAGTAACCTGATTGAGTAGATCCTAGTTGCTGTTTTTAGGTCTTGCCATGTGCTCGTTATTGAATCCACATCTGTGCATGACTATATGACCGCTGTGTGACATACTGTAGCTGGCAAGAATGTGTTCAAAAGATTATGTCAATGGATTAACAGAGGCATCAGTCACAGCTGCATTAGTCTGAACAGGCAAAACACATTTATATGTGTATATGTAATTTTGCCTTGTAGCCAATATTCCCTACGATCCTTTTAACCTTAAATTTGGGTTCATGTGTCACATACCGTCTATCGGGCTTCCACAGGTCTTATTTATTGCCATGGTACCTTCTTGTAGCTTTTTTTTGGTGTTTTGTTGTGACAGCTATGTTGTCAGCAGCTCCTCGTCAGCATTGAGACGTTTCTTTGTAAAGAGCAGAGTGTAACTGGGTTTTGTTGTTAGTGACACGCCTAACCTCCAACATGAGAGAACCTGTTTGCTGCCGTTGTCCGGACTCTCACCTGGAAGTCACCCAACACGGTAGAAAACCACCAGCATCTCTCGCGAGACTCTGGAAATAATCCTAATCCAAAAGCACATTAAGGTCATAACCGTGTTTCTCATTAGCTGTCTGCTTATTGAGAAATAGTGTGTGCCCCCCCCCAGCCAAGATGAATCAACATGTGATTTTATTAGTGTTGTTAATCTATCAGGAGTGAGTCACCTTCTCATGAACCCAACCAGGGTCACGGGTTCAATTGATGCAATCACTTGTTCGGTGTATAACATGCGTCCCCCATTTGTTGCGTGAACGTTCATCTTGGGCTGCTATGTACCAAGTGATTTTCTGCAGATATCCAGTTGAAATGACGTCTTTGCGGTTTCTGTGTTACATTCTCTTGCCAAGTGAAACCAGATTGTTATTCTCCTCACACAGCAGCAGAGGGGAACAAAAAAAAACTCTGTCCAGTTTATTAGGAAAGAAGACGATAGAGTCGGTCGTCTTTTATCTCAGACCAATGTTTAATCGTTTCTGCATAGGTATTGGCAGATATTTTGTAGTCTAGTCTTTATGAATAAAACATAATCAGTTTAATTACACCTTAATTGTTAATGTTATTTGAGGGGAAATATGAGATGAGAAACTGTTCTGCTCTTATGGAGATAAAAATGTATTTAAACTTGTAGTTATCCAGTAGCTAACCAATAAATAAAAGATCGAGGTTAAATGCCCTGACATTTTATCAGTTCAACTTCTATCAAGTCTGGACTTAAATTAAAATTTCCAACAATTATTAGTAATAAAAATTCTTGTTGTCCTGTCCAAACAGGAAATGACACATTTCTGACAAATGTGTTTCAAAAGAACATGAGTGTCTTATGCAATAGCGTTGTTACTGTAGACTGATTAAATCATGGCTTCTTACAATCAATATTACATTTTTCCACTCATCTCATTTCTTCATTCATGCATCTGGGAAGTTAGGGTGTAACCATCCGGATTGTGTCCCGAGCAGGAAGATGCTTACATAAAATTGTGAAGGCCTCCGTGAAGGCACATGTGTGGTGCGTCTGAGGCAGTGAGCCCTGTGTGAGAGCCGGGGAGGGGCCTTTGTTTGCTTATGTAGGTCTCCACTAAGGGGGCGGCCTGGATGGCCAGCTTTCTGGGACGGTCGCGCTGCACATCACATGATGGGCTTGGCCTCGGGGTGAGGCAGTGAAGGGAGTTTAAGATGGTAGCGGGATGGGTAGATGGAAGAGGAGTGATGAGAGTGTTTACTCTCAGAATCAACTCCTGGTGACTGTTTTCACAGCTGAAGAGACTCACTGGACATCAGACCCTCCATTCAATTAGCAAATCTAAATAATATCCAAGTCTGCTGTACAAAAGTATCAGATGCGTTAGCAGAGAATCTGTCAGACCTGCAGCCGGTGTCGCAGGAACAGGATTCCTCATGTTACAATGCTAAAATAGGCCAAAGCTCTAAAAATACAATACATCGAAACTGTAACTCGGAGTCTTCTGGAAGCGTTTGATGTGACTGAATGAAGCCAACACGTCTTGAAATGGCTTTGTCACATTCATATTACCCCAGTTCTGCTGCTTCACAAACCAGAGACAAGAAATACTGCAACTCCTACTGTATATCACTTCCCCTACTAGCCCACATATTAGTACTCTGTGTACAAAACTAATTAATGTCAGACTCTCATGATGAAGAAGACTTTTGATTCACATGTAAAAAAGAAAAAGTGTGATCGTTATGCTGAAAGAATAGCTATCCTCAATTGTGCTAATGGTCTAAAGAAAAGTCACTGGTCCCAGCTTTTCTAACATGAACAGCTTTTCTTTTGCAGAATTTTAGATTCGATATATTTTTGTTTGTCACGGTTGGTAAGATGCCAAGATGTGGACCCAAATGCAGACAGTAGAGGAGGCAGCCGAATGATTTCAGTGATTTGTTAAAGAAAAAGCTTACAGAGTCCCAATGAAGCAGTAGGTCCGACAGGAAGTCAATTCACTGGGAAAAATTGATACTCTGAACACCAGGACTAAGATAAACTAGCAAAGAAAAAAGGAACTCCCATATGTAGCTAATGACTGATTGTGGAAGTGAGAACAGGTGAGCCGACTGCAGGACTAATGAGACACAGGTGAAACTAATCAGGGCGGGGCAGACAATCAAAGCTGGCGGGAAAAAACTCAAAGGCTGGAAGTGAAGTGAAACGAGAGGACGGTAACAAAACAAAGCAAGAAGCACTAAACATGAAAGATATGAAGAAGTGAAACAAAACAAACAAACATAAAAAGTACAAAAACTTAACATTATGCTCCGATTCTGATGTTTCTCACTATTTTCTGCCATTTTTTATAGAATATGCATCCAACCAAAGAAAGATGATAGCGTGTACTCTCCATTGCCATAAAGCAAAAAGCGCCGTTACTTGACACTCACTGACACACATAGAAGAAAAACACGTGTTTGTTAATAGGCTGTATATCATTAATATAATCATAATGTTGTGTTAACGTTAATATTCATATTAATATTAGTGCTTACTTTTTTATTTTGATGCTTTGGCAACATTGTTTTTCTGAAACGTTCATGCCAATAAAGCCACATTGAAATGAATTGATATTGACAAAAACATTTAGTCCCTCTATGTGGTCTTTCTTTACACTTGCTATGCAAGAAGGACTACTAGTCAAAATTCAAGGTTGTCATGACTCATGTTTGGTCCATCTATACCCAGATTTGTTTAAATACTGACCTCCTCCTCCTCTCTCTCACAGGACATTGTGAGTGCTGCTAAAGATGTCTGATAGTGTTGATATTGAAGAGAAACCACCAGCCCCCCCCTTGAGAATGAACAGTAGTTCCCGAGACTCTTCATCACTGAATCTTGCCTCTAAACCGCTTCCAATGGCTCCCGATGAGAAAAACAAGAAAGTCCGCCTGCGCTCCATCTTCCCCGGGGGAGACAAGAGTGAGTATCCTCCCCCCCCAACACGTCACCCCCATGTATTTTACCTGTGTGTATAGAAATACTAGAAATCAGCCTGTGACCATTTCTTGTTCTTCTCCTGTAGCAAACAAGAAGAAGGAGAAGGAACGTCCTGAGATATCCCTACCTTCAGACTTTGAACACACCATTCATGTCGGCTTTGATGCCATAACAGGAGAATTCACAGTGAGTATTTGTTTCACCTGATAATCAGGCGTATAAACACTAATGTGCTTCTAAAATCATCCTCCCTTCTGAAAACAGAGTCCCAGGCAAGCGTTCATATAATCACAATTCTCTGAGGAGACAGAGTCAACTAAATGATATCTTTTCCTTCACATAAAGTTGGTAATACAAGTGACCTGAATGACAATCACTATACTTCACTATACCTCATTATACCTCATTATACCTCCCCTATCAGGCTAAACCTGCACCGGAATCCTGCAATGCTTCTTTTAGCTGCAGTTTCTCTTGGCAGGAGACATTTTATTCTTACACAAACCAAGATATATAATTACATGACACAGTTTAAGTCATTTAACACTGAATTTCAGAATTTATTTATTTCATTCAGTTTTTTCGTTTTCTTGTGATTCTCAAAGTGAGGTCCGTAGTTCATAGATCACATTCTAATCTAACCAATCTTTAACTCTTAGAATCTAAACATATTTTTAATACATGTTTAATATCTTTCTAATACCTTTCTCTTGTGTAAGAATGTATCATAACTAAGTAACTACTAAAAAAATAGTCTTATCCAGAGAAACATACATGAGGGGGTCCTTGGCTGAAAAACAATTGAGAACATCTACTTTATACTAAACCCCAACAACTCTAGATATAATATATTTGGACTATTACACTTAGACACTAAATTCATCCGTTTGACGTCATCTAGTTCATTGTTATAGCCCCAAAAATAAAGCTTATTAAGCTGTTAATGTTCAGCTTTTGTTTCCACAGAGATGTTTATTCAGCACTCATTATATTGTATCATGTATATTCTACTACAGACTGGAGGGGAAGTTGTTGTAATGTATTGCATTATATTGTATAAGTGTTCATGATATTGTTTTGCACATCTTCTTTATGGTAAACATTTATCCTGGAGGTGATCCTCTGCTACATAAACTGATGTTTCTGTTGATTTACTTACTGTTAATTCTTTTAATTTTGCAATTGAGAACATGCCCGTTATTTACCGTAACATGTAAAACATGAATCTGAAATGGTTTCACAATACCAGGACTAGTTTACTACTGAAAGGAATAATTATTTTGAGATAAAATAACTGATGAGCAATCTAAGACTTAAAAGCACTTTTACACTCATGAATACTGCACGTGTTCTGGTCTATTTGACTTCCTGATGTCCAGCACTCAGTCCATGACATCAGTAACAAGTAGCTAGTTGTTCATTTGATAAGCTGCGAGCTTATTACACACACAGACCCTCATTATGTTTTAAACCAAATCACTTTGATTTCACTTCTGTCATGGATTTCTGGGAAAGGATACTGTTGATTTGCTCCTTGATTTCCCCCCCCCCCTCCAACAATCATCTTTTTTTTCATAGAACAGTTAGACTATTTCTTTCAACGGTTGCTTCAAGTGTAAAAATATCCACAAGTTTACAAAGATGGAATGAATGAAACCTACATGCAGCTCCTGTAAAATGTGTCCAGTCCACCATTAAACCATGCAAAACAAATGTGGAAATGCCTTAAAAAAAGATTAGTTTGACATTTTGGTTAATCCGTACTACTCTCATATATGTCCATTAAATATGAAGCCAGCAGCCATTTAGCTTAGCTTAGCATTAAAACCAGTAGCAGTGGGAAACAACTAGCTTGGCTCTATATAGTTAAGTTAAAAAGATGTAAACATCTCTGAAGCTCACAAATTAACATGTTGAATCTTGTTTGTTTGACCTGAAATGTGAAAACAACATGTAATGGTTAGACTCGCTGTTTCCCACTGCTCTTCAAAACTTTATGCTAAGCTAAAGAAGAGAGCGAATTAGCTTATTTCTGAAAATGTCGAACCATTCCTTTACGGTTCATTTGGTATATGGCTATTAGATAGTGACTCCAAGGAAACTGAGAATTATAATAAAGAGGAAGTACAAAAGCAAATTCTTCTCTCCAAATACGAAATCAATGCATTTCAGAAAATGTAGAAGATTTTCTTCACCAAGTTTATGTTCAAATGACATTCTTTTATAAAGATTATTAAGGGTTAAATAGCGGTAGGTTTGGGGATATGTTGGGTTGATTGACAGCTGTAGTGATCGCTTGTCCACAGTATTCACGCTCCTAAAAGTCGGTGTGTGAAGCTCTACATCTACAACTGTTTCTGGCTGTGAGTGAAGGAGTATTAACAAACCAAAGCTTGAACATTAGACATCTGTCTCTTTGTGCAGGGTATACCGGAGCAATGGGCCCGGCTCCTACAGACCTCGAACATCACCAAGCTGGAGCAGAAGAAGAACCCGCAGGCCGTGTTGGACGTCTTGAAGTTCTACGACTCCAAAGAGACCGTCAACAACCAGAAGTACATGAGCTTCACCTCGGGAGGTAAACAACACCAGAACACTAACGGAATGAAATAACATCCACCAATGTAACAAAAAACATTTCATATTTATCCTTATGTATAATACAAAAGATTTTAACAATGTTCCTTTTCTGTTTCAGACAAGTCGGCACATGGGTACATAGCAGCAAACACTCTGGTGAGTTCTTTTAATATCTAGACTTGCTTTGGCTAGTGTTGGTTAAACCTAAATTATGCATTATTAATAATGTAGAAAGCTCCATATAATAAGCATCTAACAAAAGGTATGTCAGTTAATACCACCTGCTATTTAAGGCTGAATTTAAAATGAATCATGGTAATAAAACACAACTCTTTTTGTTAGAGGTTGCTCCTCTGTCCGCCTCATTAGGGTTTTTTATTGCTGCACTGCAGATATTGACCTCACTAGACTGTCTGGTTATTATAATAAAATAATACAAGTACAAATCAACCTCTGGCGTTCAGCCATAAGCAATCTCTGCCACATTTCATTGGAAAATCTCTCACCTCAAAGATATATTTCCTCCTGATTTATCTACATCTTAAAATGTAATAAAACAAAACAGGTAAGTTGTAACATTATGGCTTTATTTCATCGCCTTGGACCTCAGTGCAATTATGCCTCTCCCACTACACCACAGTGAATCTTCCTCACTTCACGCTCACTAACTCTATCTGGGAATTTCTGTGATAGACTGTGTTACTGTGCAGCCCGTTTATTCCACTCACTTCTGCCTGTAATGGGTGAAATGTGTGCGCTCCCCTCTCGAGGCTTACTGTCCTCACGATGCGGCCTAATGCCCTGAATTTTTCATATATGCCAATCAGTCTGCAGCTCCTGCGTGGAAACGCTGACGGCTGTGAGAGCCACCGCTGCTCATTGTTTATTTTTCCAATCTACTCAACCAGATTTTGAAATACCGATAGACAAGCTTCACTGAAAAGCTCAACTGCATCTAGAAGGACTCCCGCTGTGGTGACCTCATTCCAGGCTTTGACCAGAGTAATCTATGCTTTGAATGCCTCGGCCTGCACATGCTCAGCTGGGTGAAGAAGTGGGAAAAAACCAAGTCTGTTCAGTGGGATTTGCTGCCCGAGGCAAAGTACAATGGGATCCCTTAATGCAGGGCTGTTGCTTGAGAGAGCTCTTTGCCAGTGAAGGGAACCCGGGTGTGGCAGCGAGTCTAAAAGGTTGTGCGAGCCCAGTGAAGGTGTTTGAGAGCATCTCAGCCTTTGGACTGTCGCAGAGGTCCTCGGCCTGCAGTGGTGACTCAGCTGTTGGCTACGGTGCTGCAGACTTCACCATTGGTTTGGTCCGTCACTGTCTCAGGCAAGCAGAAGTATGGGAGAGGTGCTAATATTTGATCTGTAGACCAACCTTCTCCTTAGAGAGAGGAACGGTACCTGATGCTCCCTGTCAGATTACTTTGAACAGCAACAACGACTAACCTGCAATGCGGGTAAATATTTGAGAGCTGGTGTGTTGTTTTCCCCCAGCCAGGAAATATTTCCTCGAGCCTTGTCATTAGGGATTCAACTTCGTGACGTCAGCGTACGGAACAGAAGTGGAAGATATAGCGATCAAATGAAAGCTGATTAAAACGTTTTACACAAGAAATCTGAAAATATGTTATATGCTTGCCTATAGGATGGTCCTCAGGTGGCATTATTTGTCTCCATCATGTCCCCTCATGCTAGGGATCAGGACGATTTACAGACCTAATGTCCCTCAGGAGCGTACCCCCCCCTTAAACGTTGTTTGGGTTTGTTTTGAGTAAATCCATTTTCAACCTTCACATTCAGAACCGACTGCTGTCATCTGGGCCTCCTGTCAGCCTTAGAACCTGCAGCGCATTATTTGACAAGGTAACTCCTCCATATTACTTTCCACATAATGTATCTCTGCATTGGCTTTGAAGCTAAATTTGATCTCCTAACTTTGATTATTCCAACTGCAAAACGCACATAAATATATGATTTCAGACGCATAATCACTCTGTACTGAAATATCATTGGGGGGGGGGTATATTACTTTTTGATGTTACTGATGTGTTTGTTATCTTCCACAAGAGCACCTCTTATCTTTTTTCAAATAGGCCGTCTCTGAAATGGCAGGGCAGGGACGCATGCCACAAAGGGTTGTGATGACTGTCAAACTGCATGTATGAGCTCACATTCTTTACAATCGCCAATAATATGCCTTCATCACCATTGTAGACATTACCGCATGGCTCTGGGAGAAAACAAAACTAAAAGAAATAACCCACATGGCACTGCTTACAGTTAGACACTCATTGCTGCACTGCAGTCTTGGCCCAGCTCTCCTTGGAGCGGGTCAGAGGCCCAGTATGTCTGAATGAAGGACTGGGACTTTCCTTCAGCCAAACCCTTTCCCTTTAATCACCAGAACTAAGCTGCACTGCTTCATTTATGCATGACGAGACTGGAAATGGATGAAATGTTTCCACTCCATAAGAGGAAGATGATCCAAGGCTAGCAGAGGGTTTTTTTTTTTTTGGGATGGGGGGAATAAAGGCTGAGCATTAGGCATAATAAATATGCCTGAGGCTTATTAATCCGACTTGTTAAAAGGTATCAAGAGGATGTCTACGGTTCATCACCATATTGCACATTACTGCAATGTGGCAGCATGTCTTCTCCTCCAGCACAGTGAAATACAGCAGCTTGGTACTTAAATAAAGTAAATGCATTATCACACCTGACTCGACCCCTTGTAAACTGAGATAAACTGCACTGGATGGCACCTCACTCTGTTAATGCTTGTCTCTTTAGCTCTCACTGGACTCATAACACTTCCCTTCACTATTAACACAATTGCTCCCAACAATTTAACCCCAATCATATTTGGTTTTTTTACACAAACTGTCAGAAGTATCTCTACAGATGAACTGTATTTTGTTTATGGTGTTATGATATACAATTTATGTCACCACTTTGGAATAAATTGTTGATTCGATGTGAATCTGTGATATGGTTGATTACAATCTAAAAATGAATTCACCATCACACACAGCTTGTATGTTCTTTATGAAACTCAACTGGCCAAAACTCAAACTCTGTTCGTGGTTGGTTTGGGGTTTGCAGGTTGTTTACTGTGGTAAAGTTTACATGTATTTATAATACATAAATGCGAAGCTCTGCACATACTCTTTTCATTCCACGCTCCTTCATGGCACATGCATCCAGACTCACTTCCATCTCTACCCTCCAGGGTGCCAAAACATCGTCGTCAGAGCCCCCGATCGCTCCACCTGTGTCAGAAGAGGAGGATGAGGAAGAAGAAGAAGAGGAGGAGGAGGAAGAAGAGGATGATGACGACGAGCTGCCCCCGGTTATCGCGCCTCGGCCCGAGCACACCAAATCTGTGAGTTTGTAATACGCCGCTGGGCGATGGGTGAAACCGTTCTGCTTGCGAATCCGAAATCCCCTCTGCATGTCTTTGACTCCTTTCTCCTCGCAGATCTACACGCGCTCTGTCTCTGTCTTGGAGCCGAAGCCTCCCACCCCCGTGAAAGAAGTGGTGACTCCACCGGAGTCGCAGGTCCAGCCGGATAACACGTCCAACACAATGTATCGCCACACTGACCGTCAGAGGAAGAAGTCCAAAATGACGGATGAGGAAATTCTGGAGAGACTCAGTACGTGCCTCAGACACTTTTCATGAGCCACAAAAACAGTTAGTTCAGATGTTCACATGGATTGTCTGTCTAAAAGCCTTCTTCACACTGCCAGGAACTGTTTTGGTGTAGAAATCCTAAATCTCTTGATTTTTTTTTTCTTTATTTGCCTAAAAACAATTAAATATGAAGATGTGGAGTTTAAAAAATAAAATCGTAGTCATCCACAATTTGTAGGAATCTACACAAAAACAATACTGAGGACACGACTTGAGTGTTCAATAATTCACTGTGTAGTGATTCAGACAGGCTGGATATCTGGATTCCAGTAGCTGTTTTCCACATATTATTTTAAGTGCACAGATTCTGTGTATTTAGAAGAAATGTGCAAAAGAACAGTACTACTGTAATCAAATTTGGACAAAGAAGTACTTTTTGTCCTTGGCTGTGGTTTTCTCTAGACCGCTCCTCTCTCTGCAATATGACTTAAGCCCAAACTACCAGCATGCACCCTGAAGTAGAGATGCGTGTACTGCTCTACAAGGCAGGGTACGTCTGCAACAGAAGGGTCGGAAACGTTTTACGCTGATGTTTTTTTTTGTGTATTTGTGCGAAAGCCTTCACGAATGTGGGCGCCCACACAAGCTCAATCATTATATATCTGCTTTCTCTCTGACTCAGGGAGTATTGTGAGCGTGGGGGATCCCAAAAAGAAGTACACACGCTTCGAGAAAATCGGACAAGGGTAAGTTCATCCACGATCACAAACTAGTCGACACGGTTACTCAAACAGAGCAATGTCGGGAGCAGTCAGTCTCGCCGGGAGAGATGGAGCTGTAGTGACCACTTTAGTGAGACGGAGGCAGAGGGAGGGTTGGGCTGAAGGACTGGGAGAGAAATAAGCAGAGAGGAAATGAGAAGTGTATCCTGAAATGGCCAAGGGCCAGATTAGCTCATTTCTCTCTCTCTCTCTCTCTCTCTCTCTCTCTCTCTCTCTCTCTCTCTCGCCTTGTCTTTCTGTGTTTTACACAATCTGCAGACAAAAGCTGTGTTGTTGTTATCTGCTTTGACATGCTCTTTATTTCCATATTTGCTCAGGAAGCTCCTATCTTAATCAGGAGATAACTCTGTATTTACTCTGTGCCGGGCTATCTTTCACTTTTTACTACCAGGAACTATGCGCTGTTATTCATAAACTAGCTTCTGACAGTACACAGGTGTAGCTCACGGCCAGAGAAAGTGGAAAGATCAGAAGACTAAATGCACGGCGGAAGGTTGTTAGTATCGTGAAGTACACTTCCAAATAAGGACAGAATGGCTGCATACCATTCCTATTGTAAACCATAAACTTCTTATAGATCTTTGTGCTCATCACTGTTACATACGGTTTATTAATGAAGAGCCAAATAGGACTCTGGCATGAAATGTAGACAACTTACAACTTAGACTTGGTCTTTGTTGAAGTATATGCTATAAGTCTCTTGAATCTTTTATAATTGTCATTCATTATAATTTATTATGATTGTAATGAATGTGATTTTGATCTTGTGTTTCACCAGAGCGTCCGGCACTGTGTACACTGCCATCGACATAGCAACTGGCCAAGAGGTGAGTTGATTATACAACTACAGTGTGTACAATACAAAGTACACATTGTGTATTATTTATGTTTTACTTACCAAGCCATTGAGGTTTTCCTTTGAGCTGAGCCACACATTCCTCCTCGTCTGTTTTCTCAGGTGGCCATCAAGCAAATGAACCTGCAGCAGCAGCCCAAGAAAGAGCTGATCATCAATGAGATCCTGGTGATGAGGGAAAACAAAAACTCCAATATTGTGAACTACCTGGACAGGTCAGTTTTCACACACAGGGTCATGTATCACACACAGTGAATACAAGCCTGAGGTCACGGCCTCTTTTCGGTTATTTTGCCTCAGAATAGATCACATTTTCCCAGAGTCCAGGCGACGTCTTCAGATTGCTTGCAGTCCAAAACCTAAATATATTAATTTATTGTTATATAATATATATTAGAGAAAAGCAGCAAATCATACAAACCCATATTGACTCCTAAAAAGACATTAACAGGTATAATACACCGTTATTAGTACTTTATTTAAAGACAGTTACATGTATTTGATGTTCATTTGCCAATAGCAACTGGTTTTGTGGTCAGAACTTAAGGTCAGTGACTGTTGTCATCATTAATGACATTGAAGGATCCTCTGAGCCTTCTTCCTAGATCCCCCTTCTTCTTCTTCCTCTTTTTTTTGCCCTTTAATAGTGGTCAGCATTTGTCATTTGGTACATGACTGCCACCTACTGTTTTAAAAGAATTTGACCACACAATCACTCATTTTGTATCAAATTATTAAGCATCTGCTCCGCTCGGCTCGGATTTCATTACATCGGCCTTTCAGATGTTGTTCACAGCTGGCAGTAACATGCTTGAGCACCTACTGTGTGTTGTAATTAACTCTGCATCATGAGATGTAAGTTGTAGAGATGCTGCTTTGTGCTCCTCTTCTTGGGAACTTTTGTTCTCATTTTCTCCTCGTGTGCCAAGTGTCAGCCATCTCGCCTAGATTATTGATTCGTCAAAGCAACGACTGAACGTAAAACCCTAATATGAATTGCATGTCACGCTAAAACTGTATCTTTCCTTCTGGCTTGTTTTAGTTACTTAGTAGGAGATGAGCTGTGGGTGGTGATGGAGTATTTGGCCGGTGGCTCGCTGACAGATGTAGTGACGGAGACCTGCATGGACGAGGGCCAGATCGCTGCAGTCTGCAGAGAGGTAAGAAGCCAAGTTCAGACATCAGCAATACCCCTGATTACCTCTGTGGCCATGAAGTTGATCCGGACATTTAGGTGGGCACATGCAAACATTTCAACAAAAATGAGAACTAAAGCTTTTTTTCTTTCTCTTTCTCTTCAGTGTCTTCAAGCCCTGGACTTCCTACACTCCAACCAGGTGATCCATAGAGACATAAAAAGTGACAACATCCTCTTGGGTATGGACGGATCCGTCAAGCTCAGTAAGTCTACATATTTTTGTTCTAACATAGTTTATTTGGCATTAGTGTGGTAGAATTAAAGTAAAGAAAACCACCATTTCTGAGAGAGAAGTGTTTGAGATGTGTGTTTTAAGGGAGATGGCACTGTGATAAATGAAAGACATGGGGTAAATTGACAGTAAAACTGTGTATTTAATGTGATAAAGCAAAATGCAAACAAAGACTACAACACTCACCACTGCATCTCTCTCCCTCCGTCTTCCTCTGCAGCCGACTTTGGCTTCTGTGCCCAGATCACTCCAGAGCAGAACAAGCGCAGCACGATGGTGGGAACGCCCTACTGGATGGCGCCCGAGGTGGTGACTCGCAAGGCTTATGGCCCAAAAGTGGATATCTGGTCTCTGGGGATCATGGCAATAGAGATGGTGGAGGGAGAACCACCCTACCTGAATGAGAATCCACTAAGGGTAAGACACAAAATTGGCCCCCTAGTGGTCATACAGGATTTCTTTCCTATGTTACCCTCATTTGATGGTCTGTTTGACCTCTTCCATCTCTCCAGGCGCTGTACCTGATAGCTACCAACGGGACTCCAGAGCTGCAGAACCCAGAGAGGCTGTCATCTGTGTTCAGAGACTTCCTCAACCGCTGTCTGGAGATGGATGTGGACCGCAGAGGCTCTGCCAAGGAGCTGCTTCAGGTACAACCACGACTAGAACCTCAATAAACGTACAAGCATATGCATACACTTTCATGTCCTGCAGATGTCAGCAAATCACAATAAAAGTCAACTATTTATAATAATAAATGTGCATGTGTCACTCTTTGGCACCACAGCTACATTTTTATTAATATATATAATCTCTATCCTCTTGCAGCATTCCTTCCTCAAGCTGGCGAAGCCTCTATCCAGCCTGACGCCTCTGATTGTAGCTGCCAAGGAAGCCATAAAGAACAGCAGTCGCTAGTGTGTGCCCTCTGTCCCCACCCGAGGCTGGAGCCCTGCCTGTGATGTGTGCGTTCATGGGGGGCAGGGGCTTGGGTGTTTGGCTGGTGGGTGACGTGACAGTGGCAGCACAAGGAGTGTGGGGGTGGGGGGGGTGGGGGGGGGAGGGGGGGATTTGTGTGACTTACCATGAAAGCACAAGGACAAAAGACCCCCAGGCCTCATACATAGGACGGACATCTGGCCTTGCAGCCTCTCGGCCCATGCTGCTGAAAAAGACCTTGCCTCCTTGTTTACTTCTCCAGCACTCTGTACATGTAGAGCAGTCCATCACAAGTGTGTGTGTGCGTGTGTGTGTGTGCGTGCGTGCATGTGTACTAACTGTGCAGATCTCTTTGTGTCATACGTCTTGTTCGGCAGCAGTCGCTCCCCAAACCAAGAAACATTTTCAAGAGGAAACTTCAGGAGAGAAGATGAGCGACTGTCAAAAGGAAAGGGCCTGAGATTCCTTCCCTGCCCAGCTTTAGGCTGGGTTTTCTCTCCTCTAGTTCCTCTGTGGAGCACAATCAGGCCACACTTGCACCTGAAGTGGCTGATGTGAGAGAGTGACTCTGGACCCAACCTTTGCCTGCATGACTATGGCTCCGTGGAGAAACATCGCTGCTACTCTGCAGATTGTCACATCTCAAGGTGGCATATTTATGTGTATGTGTGTGATTGTGTGTAGGGCGGTGCAGCTACAGGGGAATACGTCAGGAATCATTTTACATGACTTATGCCAGCTTTAAACATCCTTCATCAATCCGCTTCATATCGGCACAGAGAGACGAGTCCCGTATTTCATTTGAGACAACTTCTGTCAGACAGTCTCTGTCGTAGAGTCACTGGAGTTCAGGTTACCTTAAATTAATTTGCTGATTTTCTCCCAAAAACTGGCTGCATTTGATCAGATTTAATGTTCTGATTCCAAAAAATATTGAAACACTGTTGGTGCACAATTTCCCAACGCAAAGGATTAAATTAACCAGAACACGTGACTCGATTGTAGATTAAACATGCAAATATTTAATTATGCATACTGCACATACATTCATCTCAATTTAAAGAGTTGTAGTTAAAGACACTTCGACATGGAGATGATCTGTCACACATTTAAATGCAACATCGTGTACTGAACACTCTTCTTATTCCATGTGGCAGAAATGATAAGAGGGACTATAAAGCAATGTCCACTTGTTTACTAATGCAAGAAATTCATCTGCAACTTCAACAGATAATTCTGACATGTTTGCACACCGTACATAAACTGTAGCATTCATTGCGTACAAGCATCTCAAATAGGATTATCCATAGACAGAGTGTGTGTGGCTTTCTGTACGCGGCTTTAGACAACATCTGACATCTATCCATCTTCACTGATTCTTGTTATTACATCTGACAATTAGGTGTGAAATACAAAGAAAGACAAATACGACAGACAGTAAATATAAATGTTTTCACTAAATATCTGTATTGAACGATGGATCGTCCTTTTCAAGGAGCTTGCACACAACATCTCAGCCTTTCAAATATTTTGTTTTTCTACAGCAGTAGCAAACCTGCAGTGAGTTGATGGTGTAGTGTCACAGATTGTCCCCACGCATCCCTGTAACCTCAAACCTGAAGCAGGAAAGATGCTCATTGACAAAAACAATTATACAAAACATAAAATACGCTGAATATATATTCAATCCAAAATGGTCAGTCAGAACAACAAACTGCAACAAGATGTGGCGGGAGGAAGACATTTTCTTCATCTTGTAATTCATTCATTATTTGTGGTGACTTAAAATAACTTTAAAGTATGAAGAGAAATGTAAAATTTAGATAATTGAAGTAATTCTCCAATCTTTGCTCTCCAGAAGCACAGGTCTTGTGGTCTTACTATCTTACATTGCAGAACACATTATGCGACTGTGACTTTACATGTTTGGATCTAATACCAACAAAAACGCCGGGAACCAACTGTCCTCCTCGCCCACCTGCCCCCTCCCCCTTTTGTATTTAAGCTGCTGCTCATTCATGCTTCAGCGTCCTTTTCGTCCTTTAATGGTGCTTCATGTGTCTTTTGTCATACGACCTGTACGTTTTGTCGTGACTCTTTGGAACGCGTCGCAGATCGGAGAGGCGGGGAATGTTATCCACTGAGCGAAGTAGTGGAGTGGTTGCCATTTTATGATTGTACCTTGTCCTAATGAGCACTGGAAGCAGGAAACCCGTAGTAGAGGTTCATATCGTTTGCAAACATTCCTTCCATACCCGATTATCTGATTCCTGTACAGAGGTTATCTACTTTGTGTTGGTATTTGGTAGCTTCGTCAGGCATTTCCCATGTAGCGTCCCTCGCTGTGTGAGTGCGTACGTTTGTGTGTGTTAGGGAGGCTACCTCAATCTGCACTAGAAGACACCTCACTCGTGTTGTCCACTTTGAGGTGCAGGGTAGCTGCTTAGTCATATTGTACCTCCATGTACAGCAACTGTACAGAAGATGAAGGGGGGATGTTAGACAGGAGGATGCAACAGAATCCATGCATGTAAAACAAAACTATACACTGTAACCCATCTTCAAATAGGTTAAGATTGTTAGGATATGTATGTAAATATGATGGGAACAGCCCAGCTCCCCATTTTGTTTTTCAGAATTATGTAACTTAAAATGACAATATTCAGGTTGCTCTATGGTATGTATCAATATATGTTTTGCACCCTGAAAAATCAAAAAAGAGAAAAACTGAACACACACGCCGTCTCTGCACTCCTGGATCCGGCTCTCCTGTCTGGGCTTTATCGGAGAAACTCCTTCATCTGGACAGAGAGCAGACGAATGCAGCACTCTGTGTGCGGGCCCACACAGTCTGTCCCGAGTACCACTGCTGAGTGTTAGTACATGTATGTGTGTGTGTGTGTGTGTGTGTGTGTGCGGTAGGTGTGGGCGGCCCGACGGTAAGCTCCGCCGGCCCCTGGGACGTCGGGGGCCCCCCATGTACAGGTCTGAACTATGAGCACAAAGGTGAATTTCGGGACAAGAGACACTGCTGACGTGCCCCTTTTCCTGTGGTTGCTCCTGTACATTCCTTTCTTCTGAATGTGTAAACCTGTACATGTGGCGTGAAAATTCCTCTATTAATGTGTATCAAGAGAATGGAACAAAGACAAAAAATGTTACTTTTAAATTATTATCATTATTATTATTATTACTACTACTCTTATTGTCTAGCTTTGTAAAACTGCTGATCCATCCGGCATACCTCAGCAGGCCTTCCCCCCCCCCCCCCC